TTCATGGGAGAAATTGGGGGTTTTGGGTAGAACCTAGGTTTTCTATAAATTGGAGATTTGGACCTCAATTTGAGGTCCGATTTTAAAACAAATTGCATATTTGAGTTTGTGGGGGAATGGGTAACCGGGTTTTGGTTCGAACCTTGGGCTTTGACCATGTGGGCGTAGGGGAGAATTTGGAATTTTTGGGAAAAACTTGGGAAAATCATTTTATGCATTCAAATTGATTCATTTAGCGTTTATTAAAGTAATTGAGTAATTTGTGACTAGATTCGAGCGGATTGGAGGTGGAATCACGGGGTAAAGCGATAGTTGAGGTTTGAGTGGAATTCAAGGCATCGAGGTAAGTGTTTGGTTTAACCCTAGCTTGAGGGAATAGGGGTTGAGTCTTATTTGATGCTTGCTAATTGTCGAGTACGATGTATAGGCATGGTGACGAGTATCTATACATTGGTGTCTAGCATGACCGTGAGTCCTTACTTTGCGAATAGTTTGGTTGTTGATATGCCTTCCATGCTTAATTGATGACTTCTATATGTTGTAAAGACCTTGTGAAAGAAATTGTGATCTTGAAACTTCGTGGAGCATTGGCTAGGGTCGAAATACAAATTGTGAGGGTTTATGAGATAAGTAACTCTTTGGAGCACTGGCTCAAGTGATAATGTGAACTATGAGATGAAAGTGAAAGAAAGAAAAGAGCTAATGATTTATTCCCTTGCCGGGATGTTGTTGGTTATTGATGTTGTACCCTTGCCGGGTCTTTAAATTGTTGATGTGTGCCCTTGCCGGGACTTCTATTCTTGTTGTATTATTTTCCCTTGCCCTTGTGTGTGATTGTTGATTGGGTGAGGAAGAGTGTTAAAGCACGAAGGGTGATGTCGTGCATTGAATGATATATATATATGGATCGGGTTGCGCGCCGCAACAATGTTAAATGATATGGATCAGGTTGCGCGCCGCAACAATGTTAAATGATATGGATCGGGTTGCACGCCGCAACAATGTTGTTAAATATTAGGATCGGGTTGCACGCCGCAACAAGGATATTTATGGATCGGGTTGCACGCCGCAACAGTGTTGTTAAATATTGGGATCGAGTTGCGCGCCGCAACAATCTTTGATACTAGTGTGTATATTCTGGGTATTGGTTTCTTGTCCACTGTAAATTCCAAACTGCCCTTAGATTGTTATTCTGAATTTACCATTAATACTGTTATCTCCCCACAGCATGCTCCCCCCCCTCCCCCCATATTGTTTACTTGTTTTGTATTTCCGATTCCGCTGTATATATATAATTGTACAAGTTTATGTGGTAGTCCAGTCTAGCCTCGTCACTACTTCGCCGGGGTTAGGCTAGACACTTACCAGCACATGGGGTCGGTTGTGCTGATGCAACACTCTGTGCTATTTGCATAGGTCCGGGTTTCGAGCAGCAGTAGCAGCATTAGTACGGGAGCAGGCCTTCAGTCCGGTGAGACCCGAGGTAGCCTTGCAGGCGTCCGCAAGCCCAGCGTCTCCCTTATTCACTCTTTTTAGCATGTTGCCTCATTTTATTCGAGGCAAACAGCTTATGTTTTCTTTCAGACGTTGTGTTTAGTATTTCTTAGCAGTTCGTGAGTATTGTGACACCAGTCTTGGGTAGAGGATTATTTTGACTACTCCGCATGTTGATTCAGTTTCTATAATTAAGACTTCCACTACTATTTAATTTCATTGTTTTATATTGTTGTCATGAATTGTTAAAAAAGGATTATGTTGTAAACGGAAAGTAATTAAAATTTGGCTTGCCTAGCTTCTACGAGTAGGCGCCATCACGACTCCCGAGGGTGGGAAATCCGGGTCGTGACAATGACGTTAATAGGTCTTTTAGAGGGGAAATATCCACACCTTTTCCACACATCTCCTCAAGAATCACTTGGATCTCGAATTGAAAAAAAGAAGCATTGTATGCAGTAAGGTCAAAGAGTTTGGCATGAATTAAGCCCAAGCATTCAAGATGAAATCCTTGGGATGGTCATTTTTTGGAGGTAGGGACAACAATGCCTAATGGAAAGGAACTCTCATTGACTTGATGAGTCTGAGAAGGTCCCTTCTTTTTTTGAACTTCTTTATATGGAGGTTCCATGATGTCGCATGGTGCAACCACTTTGGATTTTAAAGTAGGAGGTATGACCTCCTTGTTATGTTCTTGAGGCGTTATCTCTAAAGGCGCAGCAGTAATTGGCCAATAAAAGTCACCAAAGATTTTAAATGATCTTCAAGAAAGCTCCCATGCACTCTTGTCCACTAGGATATGTACTCTGACGAAAATAGCTTTTTTGTCGTAGATATAGCTGGGGGAAAAGGTCACCCTCGCGTTGGTGGAATTATGTGACACACAAATTCGCCAAAATCTGAGTCCTTCATCTAGTGAGGCGCTATGCAGGTCATTTTCCAAAATACCAGGACTAGTCTGATAAAATACAAATTGACGGTTGAATTGATGTGGACTATATGGTTCAAGAATGAAAGAGTTCCCACATCTCAAAGGGAGATAATTAAAATGGATACTCATAAAATAATTGACTTTTGATTCTGATGCTTTATCATTATCCTCAAAATAGTAAGGTTCGGACTCCTCCGGCATGGTAGAAGTCCAAGATGCATTATCCGCTTGATGGATGCGTTTTCTTGCATTTGTATCATCCAAATACCTTGCAGCGCCTTCCCCGGAATATGCCACCATCAATGGAGCATATGGTCCTTTTGGAAGCCCATAGTGTGTCCTAAAGTAGTGAGCAAGACAGTCGTATACATAATGAATGGGAAAAGAGATTTTGATATGCTCGAGCTGCAAGGACTTGGAGGTCTTTTCCAAAACATAGTAGATGCTCGCCAGAACTAGGATTGCAAGGCTGAATCTCCATCCATGTGCCATCATGCTCACCGTTTTAAAGGTCTCGGGTCAAATAAAATCGCCATCTTGAGAGGGACATACAAATGCACACAACTAACAAGATAAGAATGCCTCCAGATACGTGCCTTCTCTCTTTTCATGTCGAAACCCAAGATTAGCAAACATCGTCTCATCCGCGCTAGACCATGCAACTACTTCTTCTATAGCTCCAGTAGGATTGTGCGTCGACTTCAAACGGGTAGAACCCTCTTTGTTGGAACAGGTTTATATCTCAAGTCTCTCTTGCACCAAAATTCAATCCACTTGCTATACCTTTGGATCATGACTCTCCCCTTCTTGAAGATGGTTAAAGGCGGTAAACAGGTATCCACAAGCTTGAGGAGTAAATCTTTCATTCTTCTCATTAACACTTGTGAGTTCGATAGCTTCGGGCACAACTTCTTCGTAAGGAGAACCTTTGATAGGTAAAACAATGGTATGTAAAATTCCAAATAGATATTGATAGTTCTCCGGCTGATGTAAGTAAGGTATTTGTTGTGGGACATCAAGCTTCAGGAAATGCTTGCAAGATGTTTGAATTTCGATCATATGTAAATAAAGAAGCATAGACGGCATCACAAATTCTTCTTGTCTCCATAACTCGTTGACTTCTGCCTAGTATGTCTTCATCCCATTCCCAATATCCCGGGATATGATGATATTCGCCGTCAATTCTAAAAGTATCTCCCCAACGTATCTCCTTTTGAATCATAGGACGTCCTAAGCAAGGAAGGGTACTCGCGATATTGAGTTTTCATTGGTAAGGAGTCTGAAGAGACCATATTTTAGTTGGCTTTTGTTTGTGCTCTGAAGTCCAATCTACCATATGGAGGGAATTCTGCAAAGGTGGCACAAAATTGCATAGCGAGCAACTAGTGGAGTATAAATCAACAACTTGGTTATAACCCATTCATTCTTAGCATCAATTACGAGATACTTGCACTTGGAGGATGGAGATGTGTAGTCTCTGAAGTAAAACATCTCTTCAAAACCACATAAGCGAGAAAAAAAAGATTGGTAAATATTAAGTCAATGACAATTGACAAAAGGAGGAGAAAATTCTAGTCCTTTGTGATTTAAGAAAATTTCTAGATGCGATTAAGAATTTTTCCTTCTATATGTTGTCATAGGGTCACTCTTCTATATGTTGAGATGGATTATATGTCTATATGTTGATATGGATTTATCTGTCTGTATGTTAATATGTATTTATCCGTCTATATGTTGATATGGATTTGTCTGTTTATATGTTGATGGGGATTTGTCCGTCTATATGTTGATATGGATTTATCCGTCTATATGTTGATATGGATTTATCCGTCTATATGGAAATGTGAATTTATTCGTCTATATGTTGCGAGGGATTTATCCTCCTATATGTTGTTGGAGCATTTGATCATCTATATGCCATGATGGATTTATCCTTCTATGGGACGTCATGAAGCTGCCCGTCAACTTGGCACTCAATGGCTTCTTTTTTCTTGGCCTACAAAAGAGAAAATAACAACAAAGGAAGAGAAGCACAAAAAAAGAAGAAGAAATTACCTTCGTGACAATACTTCCGAGTCCACAAAAATAGACTCAATATAACTTGCAATTACTATGAATGGATGCTTACAATTGGAGAGCAAGTCTATTTATATAAGAGTCGAAGGAGGGCTGTTGCAAATTACTGCCGATGTGGGATAGGAATTATAATCAGACTCCTTTCAGGATTCAACTTGTTGACGGCAGCGAAATGGGCAAATCCATAATAGACTTGAATAGGACGTCGGTCTAGTTTTGCCCGTCTTAGTTTATTTATCCAATAAGGGAAAGAAGTCTCACTTTTATTGTTAAGACAAACGTGGATCCAATTGTGAAATAGTTCAACAAAACTTGAAACAGTATTGTAATAACATAACTTAGCCATAGTCAAGCAACATTTATCTCAAAAGAACTCTTGCAACAGGATCTTCCAAACATGGTTCCCCCATTTATCAAACCACATATTCCACCGGAACCTCCAGATAAGCATAACCAAATGGATGTAGAATAAATCCAACCAACCCACTCCTATAAAGAAATGCTCTTGGACAAACCGGAGAGCCATCAAACTGATTACTACGAAGTTGACTCCCATCCAAATTCAGATCTCGATAAAGGGAAACACATAGAAGGCTCAATCCCCCTTTCCCAGGATAACAAAAATCGTCTCTACCTTCCATGGCGTTACTCTGTGATCATCAAGGTCTTCATGCGAAAGATGCCATACCATTTCCTTCAGTCTAAACTAATTGAACTATGGAAGCCATCCGAACAGTTAATCTTGATTGACCTAGGATGGGACTTCTACATAGTCAAATTTAGTTTAGAAAAGAATATGGTGATGGCACTCCACCTTGTCCCTTGGTTCATCTCCGAAAACTTCTTGTCTGTGTGGAAATGGGAACCTAAGTTCGTTCCTCAAGAATCCACCCTTACTTCTACTTCCATATGGATCCGGCTCCAACAATTACCAACAGAATTCTACGATAAGGATATCCTAGAAAAGGTTGGAAGGAAATTGGGCAAACTATTAAAAATAGACCAATGCACTTCCTCTACTCGCAAGGGACGATATGCTCGTATTTGTATTCAAGTGCCACTGGAAACACCAGTGGAAACATCGGTCATAATAGGAGACCACAAACAGGCAGTGATCTATGAAGGAGAAGGGACTCTGTGCACTCTTGCGGCAGAATTGGGCACACTGCAGTAGGTTGCAATTACCAGGCAGCCACACTCAAAACAACCCATGAACCACAGGAAACACAACAGAGGAAGGTTGTGCAGACGGAGGAGAGTAAGTGGAAAATTGTCACATTCCCAAGAAGAAGGAAGCGAGGGCTAGCAAAATCAACCAATAAAAATGGCACAGAATTGAATAGTCCACACCAAGCTCCACAGGCGGACCATATACAGGTAAATTTATTCGATGTTAACTCAGGAAAATTCCTTCAAACTCAATCTCTGCATTACAACTCAAAAAAAGTTAACCCCTCCCAAAATTCCCAAAAAAGGCCTAATGGCCCAATGAACAACGCAAGCCCCACCAAGCCGCAAGGGCTGACCCAACAACGGCCACAATACAGTACGTGGGCCCAGCCTAGTACAAGCGCCAAACGAAAGGCGAGACCGGGGCCTGACGACTCCACTGACCCCAATCATGAACCACTCATTCAAGGCGCTACTTTGAGCCCAACTTTTGAGATCCCTCATCTCAAAGATGGAGAGATACCCAATGGGGCCGATCGCTCTTCTCCAAATGGGTACCACTCCCAATCTGCAATTATCAGCCCATCTAACCCCCCAAATACATTCAGCTACGCTTCCCCTACCAATCCTTCTGAAACAATCTCTAATGGAGAAATATCAACAGTCGCCACCAACAATCAAGTGCCATATCTGGTAACCCCCCCCCCCCCCATCTCCAGATGAAAAGACTCAAACCGTCAATTCCAATAGATCCTCAATTAATGACCAATCCACCCCCTAGTTCCGATTGCCAGTAACCCCTCCACTAACCGAGAGTTGACACTAAAGGGAGTACTGATGGAATGCCAGTCCCTTAAGATCACCCATTTCATTACCCAAAGTAGTAATGCCAAGAAATATAAAAATGGAAAACGAAATGCCACCAACTATCATCACCTCCCTCTCGCCACCACCGGACCACCAACCGGCTTCTTGGTTGGAGGTTGCTCTTCAGGGCCACGGCCTCTCCTCTAATTTCACCCTGGGCAATCAAAAGGTGACCCGGATTGTACAAAACCTAGCTCACCTAGCCAGAGCCACAGTGGAAGCGTTGAGCAAAGCCCTAGCGACCTTTGGGCCTCTCCTATGGCAGTCGATGGTCAACAGAGATAGAAACTCACCGATAACCGACCCCTAAACACTCAGCAGCCACGTGATGCAGAGCTTTCAAAACCTACCATTCTTCCCAGATCTGACGAAGGAGGATCCATCAACGGAGCCGGTCTTTGTAATGATCGACAATCAGACTCAACAAAGGCCATCATCTTTTGCACCAAGAGAGAAGAGCATTTCACCCCCCTCCACAACATCAAAAAAGAAATCTCCAAAGCCCTAGAAATCCTCAAGAAAAAAAAGCACGCCAGAGGAAGAGGGAGCAACCTATACCACCCCACGAGCGGACTCTCTCCTACTGGACTCGGTGAGAACAATAGAGTTCAGCACACAAACCAGCGAGGTGATAGTTGTTCTTTGTCCCAGAGCGATGGTCAAGTATGGAATGAGTTTGGTCTCCATCCAAAACCACGGTCCCATCAAGCCCCTGCTGAACCTAACTCTAGTACTGAGTCTCAAGAGGAAATCCCCCTCACCTCCAACGAAGTGTCCGCAAGGACCAAGGAACCCTCAAGAGGGACCTCACCAACCACCCCCAACTCCACTAATGAATTACATCATATGGAATGTTAGGGGAGGGAACAATGCCGAATTCAAGAGGCACTGTTTAGAAATGGTGAAGATGCACAAGCCGGCCATGTTTGTTCTGCTTGAAACTAAAATAGCAGACCCCCAAAAGTTGGATTAGGAGCTCCATTTTGATATGATCATCCAGTCACCGGCAGTAGGACTCTCTGGGGGAATAGTGTTCATGTGGAAAGAAGAGTATGTGACAGTCGAAGAGGTGGCCACTACCCCCCAAGGCATCCACGCGATGGTAAAGGTGAGTCCTAACCACCCTGTGGCTCTTCTCTGGTATCTACGCTAGTAATATCTTAGCTAATAGGAAGCTCCTATGGGAGAACCTAATCACAATATCAAAGAACCTCACAACCAACTGGTTTGTAGGAGGAGACTTCAATGAAATCTTAAAGGCCGGGGATAAATTTGGGGGCAACCCCATAACCCTCAGCCGCAGCAATCTTTTATGGCACTGTAAAAATGAGTGTAATCTTGTAGACCTAGGATATAAAGGAAGTAAATACACCTGGTCTAATAAAAGATACAGTAATAGAACTTCGCTAATTCTGGAAAAAGTAGATAGGTGCTTCTCCAATTAAGGCTGGATCCAGCAGTACCCCGAAGTAACCATACTGCACCTCCCTACGACCCACTCAGACCACTGCCCCCTTCAAATTAATTTGGTAGGGCCTCCAAACAATAATATACCAAGGCCCTTCAGGTTTGAGTCAATGTGGGCTAGCCACCTGTCCGTTCCTAACATCATCAATAGGGCTTTCTCAAATCATTCCAACCTCCTCCAATCCACTGATTCCTTCAAGACTCTGGTCACCAAGTGGAACAAAGAAACTTTTGGAAACATCTTCCACCAAAAGAAAAGAATCCTAGCAATAATCTTTGGAATTCTGAGATCTCCTAACTACCAGTTTAGTAGTTACCTGCTTCATCTGGAGACTAATTTGACTACTAAGCTTAACTTAATCCTCAAGAATGAAGAGGATTTTTGGAAGCCCAAATCTAGGATAAATTGGCTTAACGAGGGTGATGCTAGCACTAGATTCTTTCACACCTCCACCCTCAATAGAAGAAGAAGGAATAGAATCCTCTCTCTTAAAGAAGAGAATGGAATCTGGCTCCATGACCAGAAAGATATCCAAGCAGCCATATTGAGCTTTTTCACTGATCTATATACCACATCTCACTCCTAAGCCCTTTGGGCTTTCACCAACCACTCCACTATGTCCCACATTCTGTCTAAAGGCCAAAAAGCTTTCCTGGACAAACCTCTTGAATTGAGTGAGATAAAAAGGGCAGTCTCCTCCCACAAAGCCCCTTTAAATCTCCCGGCCCTGGTGGCCTCCGCCCTTTCTTCTACCAAAAATACTGGGACATAGTTGGTGACTCTGTCACAAACTTCTGTAAAAAATGCTTTTCTTCAAGTTCTATGGATGACACCATGAACCAAACTCTATTGTGCCTAATGCCAAAATGCCCCCAAGCTTCAATGTTAAAAAGTTTTAGGCCAATAAGACTGTGCAACACTATCTACAAGTCAGTCACAAAAATCATAGTGAACAGAATAAAGCATATCTTGCTCACATCATTGGGCCAAACCAAGCCAGTTTCCTTTCCAATAGGAGAGCATGTGATAATGCCATCATTGTCCAAGAGTATATCACTCACTTTAGAAAAATGAAAGGGAAAATGGCAATATGATCCTAAAAATCGACCTAGAAAAGGCCTTTGACAGGCTAGAATGATCCTTTATTAGAGACACCCTTTCTGCTTTCAACTTCCCCCAGGGCTTATCCAAACACATTATGTCCTGCATCAGTTCATCCTCCATCTCCATTCTTGTCAATGGGGGGAAAACTGAATCCTTCAAACCTTCAAGAGGTATCAGGCAGGGAGACCCAATGTCGCCCTACCTATTCATAATGTGCATGGAAAGATTATCAAGATCAATTGATAAGGTTGTTCTGGACAACCAGTGGAAACCCATAAGTATAAGAAGATCTGGCCCAAATATCCCATCTTTTCTTTGCAGATGACTTAACTCTCTTTGCTAAAGCTAATGAGAAGAATTGTAACACCATACTTTCCATTATGCAGAACTTCAATGAACAGTCAGGTTAGAAAATAAATCTTGCAAAGTCAAGGGTCCTGTTTTCCTCAAACACTCCGCAGGACTCCATACAAAATCTCACCAACTCCCTATCCATCCAACACACCACCTCCTTTGGAAAATACCTTGGTTTCTCCAGTTTCCATAAAAAGCAAACCAGTGCAGAATTTCAGTTCATCATTGATAACATGCAATCCAAACTAGTTGGTTGGAAAACAAACTGCCTAAATATGGCTGGCAGAACTTTACTGGCCAAAACCTTTTAAACAACATTCCTAGTCATGTCAGGCAGTACATCAACCTGCCCACTAAAGTTACCAATCAGATTGACAAAATCCAAAGGAACTTTCTCTGGGCTACCACTCCTGAAAAGAAAAAGTTTCACCTAATCAAGTGGGAGGTGGTCACAAAGAACAAGGCTGATGGTGGTCTAGGACTCCAAAAGGCCAGTCTTAAGAACAAAGTTTCTCTCATAAATCTTGCCTGGAGGACCTACAACAATACCAACAGTCTATGGGCAAGAGTTCTATTTCATAAGCACTGTAACATGTCCAACAATGCTAGGCTACTTAGAGCCCAAAGATATCCTAGACATCCTAAATCAACAACCTGGCAGTGCATCCTAAAGGGCTGGGATAACTGCTACAAAGCAAGCAAATCGGTAGTTCACAAGGAAAACAGGGTCAGCTTCTTAAATGATGTATGGATCCCCAATCAGCCAACAATCAGACAGTTGACTGAGGGTCCATTAAACCAAAATGACCTCAATGCTAAGGTTAGCTCAATCCACAACCTAGGAACTTGGGACACATCCTCCTTGTCTATTGCTCTTCCCCCTAGTATCCTGAATCTGTTAAACTCAGTGTTTATTCCCCCAGTTCTAACTAAGGAAGACAACCTCATATGGAATTGACTCCGAATGGCCAATTCTCAAATAGTTCTGCTTATTCCTTCCTAAGCAAGCCTGACACCAGCCTTCATTCTAGTGAAGAAGGCTCATTAAAATGGGTCTAGAAGCTGCAAGCTCCCAACAAAATCAAGAATTTCATCTGGCTCCTCACCCATAGGAGACTCCCAACTAGGAGCTACCTCCATAGAATTCGGATCAACTGTGACCCCCGATGTCCTTATTGTAACAATGGCCAGGAAACTATTGACCATATCTT